TTAGCGTTCGAAAGAGCAAGTCTCTACGACGCTAAAATCAGTGGTGAAAACATGAAGGAGGCAATAACGAGGATAAAAACGGAAACGCAGCAAGAGTGGCAGGACCGATGGACGCCGGGAGAGACAGACAGATGGACAGCGCGACTGATCCCAAACATCAACGCCTAGCTCTCTCGGAAACACGGGGACACGGATTTTTTCCTGACCCAACTATATATTATTTAATCACTTATCATTATAAACTATTGCAAACAGGAAAACCTAGTTACCTTAGGGAATTATTTGTTGAAGATGAAGCTAGACGTTCTGAAAGATTAGCTATAAAAACAAATAATGTAAATTTTGAATTGCCAAATTTTTCTACAAATTATCTTGAAAATTCATTTGTAGTAACTACAATACGTTTGTGGCAAAATTTACCTGCAGAAATTGCGAATGCTAGCAGTCTAGAAGTGTTTAAAACAAAGATCTATGACTATTTCTTTGAACTTGACTTTCAGTAAATTACCTTCACGTTGGCTTCTGTATATATTCAAATACTCTTACAAACTATTGTTACTTACTAGTCAAAGCAACTACCATTATATTGTTATATACGTGGATTAGAATAAATATTACATTGTTACTTATTAAATCAAATTTAATCTAAAATTAAAACTAAAGTTAAATCTAAAATAAAATTATAATTGTTATTTTATGAATAAGATTTTGATGTACACCTACACCTAAGTTTATTATTTTGTATTAAATTTTAAGTAAAAATTTATAAAACTATGTACAAACCTTTGCCATTCGGCAAATTGCCTTAGCATATTAAATAAATACATACATACATACATACATACATACATTTCTCTATTCTAATTCCCCAATAACAATAATAATAATAATAATAACGCTTGAATTACAATTTAAAAATAATTTCAAAATATTATTTTCCTAATTAATATTTCTAAAAATTCCGGTTTATCATTTTCCGAATTTCAAAATACAAATAACAAATTCCTATTATCTAAATTACTGTCGTATCTTCAATTACTACAACAATAATTATCTAAATGATTCTTTCAATTTATCGAGGATTAAATCCATTCATTGTGTCCGAGAAATTTATTAAATAAATTTTAATCTTTATTTTAGCAAACTTAAATAAATTCCGGTAATTGAGTAAACTTAAATATTGGCTAAATTATTTTTATTCAATCCAAATTATTTTATTTAATCCGAAGCATTTTATTTGATCCAACCGTAAATTTTACTAAATTTATTTTTCGACGCAAAAGTGAAACTTAGACAAGAGATTATTCTATTGTAATATATTTTGTGTTTGTTAAAACTTAATATTTCATTTTACTTGAGTTTATTTTATTTTAAACGAACAGAGACTTTTGTTACGACCTTGTGTATCCTCTACTCAGCGTTTTCGCACGGGACAAGATGGCTGACGCTCTCGCTCGGTCTAGCGTCCTCGTCGCACAACTCAAGTATTTTTTTTCCTGACGAAATTTTTACAAATTTTATATCCTCTTTTCCTTTTGCTAAATAATTTAGATTGGCAATTATATTGATTTAGATAATTATTTCCGGACTATAAGTCTAATTTAAATTAAGACAATTATTGAATAATGTGCCGAATAATTTATTAAAAATAACTTTACTGTCGAATCAATTCCTGTCTTAAATAATTTTAATTTAGCGGTTTACTTAATTTCATTTCTACTGGCTTAAACCAAATTATTATTTATAGATTCCTAATTAAATAAATTTTACACATGGCATAAAAATCTGGAATTAATAACCCGAACTAATGCCTAGTAATGTTTAACCGCTAGAAAAAAAAGATCTAGTCAAATACTTATAAGAAGAATTGCGCCTTCGGGCTTCATCGTTAAAACTCGGGAATAATCGCTAAAACTCGGGAATAATCGTATCACGCTATGGCCATCGCTCATGCGCGCCTTGGTTAGCGGTAGAGAAGCCGGCTCGCGTGGTCAGCAGCTACAGTTATGCTTGGACTCTTGTACTAGTACGACTACTCTGTATCAATCGATTCTAATATTTCTTACTTGCTTCTTACATTTATTCAGATACTTAAATTATCCATTAAATATAACTAATTACTTCAACTTAATAACAATTACATTCTCAAATCATTCACATCAGTTTAATAGTTCAGTGAATTATAATAAATAAAATCAAAGTAGATTTGATTAGTGACGCCACGCGGCCATTACGCGCCATATTCACAAAGGATTGCATCAGCCACGCGCCAATTAACACGCGATATTAATATTGAATTATATTGAATTCATTACCAATATTTAATTACTACATTAACTTAATCATAAATATTAATATTTCCATTCTGAAATTAAATTCATTTGACTAATTCGTACATGAAAACATAAATTCAATTAACTAACAATCTGTTATTAATTGAATCTTATAAGCTCTCACTTTGAGACAATTTATCTAACTAATTGAACATTAGTAGCTCTCATCTTGAGACAATTCATCTAATTAATTAGCCTTTTTCCTGGGAAGATTAAAAAAAGATCCGCTAGGGGCAGCACTGGTGGGGGGTACATATGTTTTGATTTCTCTATTGACAACAACGTTAAACATAAAGAATTATTATGGAATTAACAGAAGATGATGTACCTGGGGCGAAATTGAAATTTGCAAAAGTACAAGATCATCTTGTCAGGGACTTAAAACGATGGCTTGCATGTCGTGGCTTAACCGTGTCAGGTAATAAAAATGTCCTAGTTGAAAGGTTAGTTGGTTCATAAATTTTATCGTATGTGTCATTGTGTTGTTTAAATTTTTAATATTTAAAATTAATTTTTGTTGTTTTTTTTTTTTTTTTTTTATATTTAAGAATCGAAGAATGCATTGCAAATGGTAATAGTAAAAAAATTATTATTGGAATTGATGGTGGTAAATGTCTAGCGGATAAACAGTAACGTATGCAATTACTCAATTCAACTCTACCAAGTTCAAAATCCTGCACTTTTCCTACTACAAACTGGGCAAATTTTCCATCCCAAGCTATCCCTCGTTCTTTTTGCTGTGCTATCATGTATAATTATGTCACTAACGGTCCTATTGATACTTTAGATTTGAATGCTTCTTTATCTGACGATGACGAACAGCTTCCGAATTGTGGAAACTCGAAAGCACTTCAAAGAGGAAGACAATATTGTTTAAGTGACTTTGTGTCAAATATGGAAGACAATGCGAATGATTTGATATATTACTTAAGAGCAAACGTACAATCTTCTTTTCGAGTCACTGTGAAGTATAAAATAAGTATAGCTTTGGATAAGAATAGTAGCAAAATCATAAATGCTCAGTGTCAGTGTCAAGCATCTCCTTCAGAGAACTGTTCTCATATTGTTGCTTTACTTTACAAACTTGAGGATTATACTGTACGTTACGGTTATGATGCACTCACATGCACATCAAAAGAATGGAATAAAGGCAAAAAATTAGGCAATAATCCAGACAATATTTTAACTGTTAGCTATCCCACCAAACGTAAACATCTAAAGAAATCAATAATTAGTTTTATTCCGAAAAAAAAAACAATATTTAAATGATAACTATGATAAAAATCAGTTCACGTCCAGATTTGTTCAAATAGTTCAAAGTAAAAAGGAAATTAATTGTATGTGGAATACTTTGCTAAGCATAAAATATGATGATTATGATTTAAGTCTAGACGAACAGTTAATTTTAGAACTAAAAGTTGAGCAATTACTAATGAACTTAACTCCGATTGAACCTGGACCAATTGAAATCGAAGTTGAACAAAATAGTTCTGCATGGCTAACTTAAAGACAGCTCAGGATAACAGCATCAGAATGTAAAAATTTTTCACGAGTACAAATTTGACAAATTTAATTAATACCAAATTACGGTGCAAGAATGACATCAGTCATTTGCCTCAAATCGTGTATGGCCGCGAGAATGAAACTAATGCGATAATTGATTTCGAAATTAATAATAATTTGATTGTTAAACGGTGTGGTCTCTTCGTAAACAAATTATTTCCTGGTCTAGGATGTAGTCCAGATGGTTTAATCTTTGAAAATGAAAAAATAATTTCATGTATTGAAGTCAAATGTCCTCAAGTATTGAAAGATTGTTCACCGTTTGATCTAGATAAAGTGAAAAATGCAAATAATTTATGTTACACGGTTAAAAACAATCAAATTCATTTGAAGAGAAACCACAGTTACTATTTTCAAATTCAACTGACACTCGCAATACTAGAACTAGAGTACTGTGATTTTATAATTTGGTCTGGGCTTCATAGTTTTGCTACTGAACGTATAAATTGAGATGAAATTTTCATTCAAGCTTTAGCACAAAAGTTACTCAAGGTGCATACAATTTTAGCTCGTGAATTTTTCGAAATGCGACTGCCAAGAAATTTATTACTTATCACTTGAAATGTTATTCAAGGATGACACACATTCATTTCTTAATTATTATCACTTTTACTGTTACTATTCCCATTTATTCATAGTCTTTATATAAAAATCTTTCCAATAACTGAAAAGATTGATATATTTATGTTTGTTGTGCTAGTCACTTTATGCATGTAACCTAATATTTTTGGTGTTTTAAATTTTATATTTTAAGTTATTGTTGCTATACATATTTTAAAACATTTTAAATAATACTAATTTTATTTTTGTTGTGATAAAATATTACAGGAAAAAATAAAAAATTATTCTTCAATTAATGTTTTTGTTAATTTTTGATTATTTACATGACTAACGGTTCTTGAAAATTAACAAATATTGCAATTACAAAAGTAATTTGAGATATAATAGGAAGCATATTTTTAGAAATTACTCGTTGCATTATACAAAACTCCTTCATACGTCCTATGAATCTTTCGACATGAATTCGAGCAGCAGCTATTTCTCTAGCTGTTCTTATCTCTCCTTTAGTAAACCTCTTGCGTTTTTTTAAAAAAGGTGGGATTATTAATGATCACTTTGTTTATTACACAATTCTTCGAGATTAAATCCCCGATCTGCAATTATTGAATCTCCTTGTTTTATATAATTAAAAAGTCCACTTTTTATTGTTATTTCTTTATCACTAATACGACCCTCGAAACCATCAGATAGAAAGCAGAATCCTCCAGTTGAGATTATTTCGACCAAAAATTTGACAGTGTTGTGTGATTTGTAACTTGAGTATGTGTTCCCTTGTTGATTGAAATTTTTAGACTTTTGCATATTCCATTCAAAACAATCAATTATAACACGAATATTCTTAAATTTTCTGAATACTTTAGGAAGATTATTTTTTTTTTATTGTCTCAGTAGAAGGAAAAATGTCCAATTTTTGAAACTCTTGATGCATGAATTGAATCCACGTTGTAAAAATTTTAGAGAGATATCCAATGCTAACATTAAATCGATAGCTCATATCAGCAAGTAATAACCCAGAATGCAATCGAATTAACGTTAGAAAAAGTTGATTTTTTAATGAAACTTTTGTTTGTGTCCGTGACGATTCACGATTCGTTTTAGGTTCAGTAGTCAGCCACTTTCTCAATGATTCAGCAACAGGAGGTCCCAGAAATTTCCATAAAGTATCAAAATCTTCTGGTTTTAAACCAGTATAATATTTAAATTTTTTGACATTATTCCGACATGAATCGACATCGAAGGCTTCACTCTCTAATTTTTTCTCCAGACATTCAATGCACTTTTTTAATTGTTTAACTTCCGTATCTTCTTCTGTTTGACTGTCAGCATCACATGTTGAAACTGTTTGCATAGGTGGTTCAACGACGAGCTCTGCATTATTTGGAGTTACAAAATTATTATAATTTTCGGGCTCAGAGCTTAAATCAATATTTAATTGAATTTCTTGATGACTACTAGCATTTTTATTATCAGTTTGTCCAGTGATTAATTCATCATCAGTAGCAGTGAAACAGGTAAGTTTCTGACGTTTATTCTTTCCAGTGCTTGAGTTCTCATCAACACATCGTTGCTGTCTTTTACGATCTTTAGGAATCTAAAAAAAATTATTCAATAATTTAAACAACAAAATTTCATATTTTATGCATGATTAAAGAGAAATTTTAGTTGATTATTTATCATTAATATCGATAATATGCAAACAAATATAAAATATAACCTCATTAAGGAAATCCTTTCGCTCCAGTTGAGTCAAAACAATTGTAGTAGTCAATATACGATAAATTAAAATAAAAAACCCATAAAAATTCCTAAAATTAAATAATAAATAGTATATGAGGCATTAATCGTTGAAATTTTGAAAATAAAAAAAAAAAAATAGTTAAATACAAAAATTAATTTGACTCTTTCAAAACAGCTGCAAGTAATCTGTCCGTGATTTGGCAACGCTGTACTTCGATTGTTTACATTTTCATTTGCACAATATAACCTTAAACACGTTTAAGTTTTTGCAGTCAGTGTAAATAAATAAATTAGTTTGAATTTATTGAATGGTCTGAAGCTCGCCCGCTACGCAACGTTGCCAAATGTTTTGACTCCATTTTAACGTAGGTTACTTGAGAATTTTTTGTGATTTTTAAAAATTAATTTCTCAATAAATATCTCGGTAACTGATATATTTTATTGCACAAAAAAGAAACCTGAATATTTCGAAAATCTAATTTTTAGTTTTTTTTTTTTACTTCATCTAATCCATGACTGATAGTATAATTCGAGAAATACTGCAAACGTCTGACTTTCTCGTAAGACTCTGAACAAATACTAGCATTTAAAAATTTTATTTTTTCAAAAATTTGTCCGGTAAAGTATAATTTAAACCTCACTATTAGATAAATAAGGACCTTAACTATTAGAAAAAAATTGAATTTACTTATAATCTAATATTTTTTATTTTACATTGGCGGCGAAAGGACCTCCTTAAATAAACAATTACTAACCTTTGGAACTGTCGCTGGCAATGGATTAGGATTTCCCGCTGTTGGTCCATTTGAATTAATAAAGTGTTTTTTACAAGTATAAGTATGTTTCTTTATTTTTTCAACTGTTAAATCTTTTTGATTTAACTATCTATAAAACATATCTATAAAATCTTTTATTAAAAAGCTTATGCGACGTTTTCATTGTTGTCACATTTCATTGCTACCTTTACACTCTTTCAATGTCTGAACCATCGTGTCGTAGATCTCATTTAAAATAAAATCGAGTTTTCCCGGAGTAATGTCAAAATGATGAGGTGCCCCGAAACAGGGGGTCCGAATACACCAAGAAATATTTATTACAAATATTTATTTATTTATTTAAAGAAAAAACTGCTTATAGAGCGGTGCTTACAGCAGTGTTGATTTACAACAAAGTTCATATATAAATATTCGTCTTATAATATTGTAAACTGGTTAACATTTAATAGTGGGATAATTTACAAATAGCTTAAATATACATAGTAATTAAAATGAGAGTAACAATAATATCACTGTACCCAAAAGGGTTGAAATCAAGTTAAATAAGACTAGATAGGGCGACAAAAATAGTTGAGGGAATTAGTTGAGGGAATTGAGGATAGTATTATAATGTTATGAACGATTAATTCGCCTATTCATTTAGGCAGAAAGCTCTTAGTTTCATAGAGCGAGATAGATATAAGTAGACTGCTTTGACTGTCGATGGTCTAGGGTCGTAAAGTAAGTGGAGATGTAGTAAATTGTCATCATCAACGTCAGGCGTTAGAGACGACAGTAAAGAGGAGAGAAAATGATCTCTGTAAGGGTTATATATCGGGCATATGAGGAAGATATGTGCTAGGTTTTCCTTTTCGTGAAGGTTGCAGATGGAACAGGGGAGCTGAGGGTCTAATCCGAAGTGCATGCGCTTGAAGCTAAACCTGTAATAGTGGTTGTTGGCTAGTCTTGCTTGTGCTATAACTCTGGCTGTGTACAACGAACTGTTAATTAAATAAGATGCAGTAGGTGCACCCAGTTCTCTTGGGATGTTGACTTGACAGGAGGTTTTATCCTCAATAATATTTAGATCAAGGCGTCTGAGATGGGCAGTGAATGAGTCAAGGATTTTAGGTGTTAACCTTTTCCAGTGAGAGCTGGAGTGGCTAAACCAAATTGTCGAAGGTGCATTTCCCAGCTCAAGCAAAGGCTTGAGCTGGGCAATCCAGTTATATTTCAAGTCAGTGCTAGGCGTATCAGACAATTGTAAAAGTCTGTTATAAAAGATTTTGGGGATACGGTGGTCCCCCATGTCAAGGATTTTACTGATCCATCCAAGAGCCGATCTCAGAACCCTGGTCTTTACATTTGCCATGTCAAGTTCATGTTTTAATGCAGCGCTCGGGGTGCCCGAGGGAAGGAGGAGGAGTCTTTTAAAGAAGCTCAGTTGCGATTTTTCAAGTAAGTCAAGATATCTGAGCCCCCAGAGGTGGGAGGCGTATAAAAGTGTACTGGCTACTATTGCGTCAAAAATCCTTAGGGTACCCTGCCAGGATTCAGCTTTGATATTGGCAAGTGTCGCCAATCCAGCACCTGCTGCAGATTGCGCTTTTTGGGAAGCAGCTTTAGCAGCGGTCAACCCAAGAGTTGAACTGGTGAAGGGAACCCCAAGGTAAATGTACTCATCTACCCATTCAATGGTTTTACCGTTGAGAAGGAGACTCCTCTTCTCCCTCGGACCACCTCTTCTAAAGTGCATAATTTTAGTCTTATTTATGTTAACGATTAGGAAATTGCACGTACAATATTCTTCAAGTATTTTTAAAGATTTTTTGAGTTCGTTGATTGTTCTAGCTAGAATGACAAGATCATCAGCATATAAGAGCATTAACAGGTCGTAGACGTTATTTATTTGTATACCCAGTGCCTCCCTAGATCTAAAAAAGTCAACTATATCAGATAAGTATAGAATAAACAGGATGGGACTCAAAATTTCACCTTGGAGAACCCCCTCCGTAACCTCAAACGCTCCCGAGAGAAGTCTCTCTGATCTAACTTGGAGAATTGCTTGGTCATAAGCTTGGTCAACAGCTTGGCCCGCTTGTTCTTCAGGCAAAACACCAGTCCTTTCGATCCAGGTTACTATTCTCTTTTTAATTATTGATGTGAAGACTTTTGTTATTACATTGATCATTGCAAGACCGCGGTAATTAGCAGGATCAGATGGGTCACCTTTTTTATGCAACATAAACATAGCTATATGAGCCCAATCACCGGGTACTTGCTCAGTGTCCATGATCTTGTTAAAAAAAGCCTGGATATAAAGTAACCAGTTAGCAGGAAGGTTTTTGAGAAATTCCCCAGTGATTGTGTCCAGGTCTGGTGCTTTGCCATTTTTAATATCAGAGATACTGCTGCAAATTTCCTCGTACGATATTGACGTGTCCAGTACAGGATTGATATAAAGCTCCAATCATTCAGAGATATCCTGGCGATCAACCACCAGGGAGAGGAATCAATCAATTCATGTTTAAACATCTTATTTATGCCCACAAGAATACCACCACTCGCCCTGCCTACCTCACGCGATCTGGTTGCCTGTGAACAAATAGTATTATAGTTATTGAGATCATTTGGGAGGGTATGAGTAGTATTAGTAGACCATGTTTCGGTTAAACAAAATATATCACACTTACTTAACGAGAGAAAACTACTTATGTTACCTAAACCATGACAGTTCCAGAACACTATCCTCAATTTCCGTTTTTTGGGGGGGAGAAGTTAACTTTCGATGGTGCCGTGTCGGAGAGATGAGGAGAGGTTTCCTGCGAGAAGACAGATTGTGTTGAAGTCCAAGGAGCCGGGTTGTGATTAGCTCCAAGAGGAGATATCATTTCACCTTCGATGTCAATAGTACTGTCTTCGTGTGCAACATTGCAAATTACTAAAATTAATAATAAGATGCGCTGAAAATCATCTAAATTTGTACAGTCAATTAAAAGACATATACACCGAATGTAAAATTGTTTTATTGATGGATGTAATACGGACTTGAAGTACTTCCAACCAGTAATTGAGTGGACAAAATGAGCGGCATCCAATCTAATATAGGTATTAATTGGAGTTTTTTTATGTCTGTGTAAATTTTTAAAACATATTGCGATGTATGTTTTTAAAGGCGTTAAATTAAATGCACTGGACATAGCATTTAATTGTACACGTGATCCGTCCGAGACTGCTTCACGTGGATGTCTAGCTCCCAAACTAACCCATTTAACTAACCATAGTCGAATAGTTTCCGCATCGTGAGCTGCTGATAACATCTGCCACACAGATTGTGAATTTTTATCAAAATTTATTATAATTTGGTAAAGAAATATATACTGACTTTTTTCACCATCAGGAAAGACAATTTTACGGACAAATTTCCCCGTGGCATCAATAGCGATCGAAGAAAAATCTTTGTGAGTACGATGATATTCTTTATAGCAATGCATCTGACTTAACTACCATAAAAAATATAAAAAGGTGACCTAGAGATAACATGTATGGAATCTTCATAGTTAGGAAGAGCCTTCAGCTGATCAATAGCATCAAAAATATTTTTTTTTATCAATTGGCTTAATACCTAATTCAGCATTTATAAACTCCCTTTTAGCTTGATATAATACACTTGATTGAGGTAAAAAAGGACAGCCGGTATCACCAGCTTTGAATAGCTGTCCTGCTGCTTCATTTCTATATCCAAGAACACCAAGATCTTTAACTTTATTACTAATATCTTTTCTTCTTTCTCCTCGAAGAGGTCTCTGAAAATCCTCATGATCATCATCGCGAGTATCACGACACTTTATCGTAATAAATATCGGAACTTCTTCTCCAGGATCATGCTTAATAAAACCAAATAGACGATTCCCACATTTTTTACTTTTACAGTAACCATAAACAGAAAGGTAATTATCTCCGTTCGTACTCACAATACCTTTCTTAAACATAAAGCTGCATTTTAAACGATATTGCTCCCAAAAAGCAAATGCAATAACATCTGTCCAAACGTTTTTGCGTAATTTAAGATGCTGATGTCCGCTATTGTCAACGTTTTTTATTATGATTTTATTCCATGCTTCTCTAAAAATCTCCACATCAAAATCTTCAATTTCATTAGAATCATGAACATACCAATTCTCGGGTACATAATCATTGTCATTTTCGTCGTCATCATTACCACTGTCGCTATCAATATTTTCATTTACATTGTCACGATTCAAGTCAGTATCATCATCAACATCATTATTAACATAAGATATTTTGGGATTTTCAGTGAAATAACCACATTCTTGCCGAGCAATAGTTAGAATCTTCTTTCTGTCTTGACGAACATTAACACGAACACAATCACTAGACAATTTATTTTCTAATTCATTGGATATTATTTGCCAAATTTCTGAAGACCATGGTGGTGAGTCAGGAATAAAATATTTAATATATTTCTTTAAAACCTGTACTGCTGACTCTACAGATACGTATCGACGACGTCCCATCATTAATCCAGTAACTAAAATCTGAAAAAATATTGATTATTAAAACCTGCTAATAATGCTGATCACTAAAATATATGTGATTAAAATTTTAATAAAAAATTACTTTGTTTGATAAATCCGTATAGGTTTACATTATAATGTAATAAATTGATTTAATTATAAAAAAAAATATTTTTAATACTTATAAATATAACTGTGAAGAAATATTTAAAAATAAAATGACAAAAAATTAATATAAATAAAATTTAATATAATATACGAAAAAAACCGATGCTTTGTTCACAACAATTTTATGCGTGCTAAACAGAAATAGTTAATAACGGCTAAGCGTCCATTGATTGTCTTTTGTTTAACAATAATAATAAAATTAACATGTATTCACAAAAATATTGTCGAAAACTGTCATACCGACTAATGATTAATTTCGTTCTTACTCATAATTATAATGTTTGTCAAAATATTTAATTAATAAAGAATAATCAAATAATTAAAAAAAAATTTGTTAGTAAATTCAAATAAAAATTTTTTTAACAAAATATTCTTTAAAATGATTATAATCTTTGAATTAATAAGTAGCATAAAGTATAAGTTTTGTTATGGAGCTTAGATATTTACATCAATATATAAAATTTAATTTGTAATAGTAATATCACATTTTTTTTGTAAACAAAAAATATAAACTACTCAATAAATGTGTATCGTAAATAAAAAATGTTGAATCAATGAATCTTATATTCAATGAATTAATGAAAATGAAATACGAACGTATAATTTTTTGTTTGCAATAAAATACTTTAAATATTATGGACAATGTTTTATTATACGTTTATCAATTATGTAATTTAACCTTATATTCTCTTACGTATTAATTTTTTATTACTTATTATTAAGTAAACGGAAAAAAATAATACTTGAATGTGATATATAGATATATTATTAAAAAAGTTATATTTTTTATCATTTATTAAGATTATTTTTTCTATTACCGAATAAGATTATCAATACTTACTCCAAGCATCATTGAAACACGTGTAGCAAATATTCTATCAGGCATCTTTAGTATACAATTATCTTTGTATTTTTTGGGTAAATCTTAAAAAAAAAAAAAGAATACATTTAATAAGTTTATAAAAGAAAAATAACCAGCATATTAGCTCACCAAAATATGTTACTCACCGACACGATGATGCATGCTACTTTTTCATGTTTCAGTATGAATGAAGTATGTACTCATACGTGTCTGCGTAAGTTTAACAACGCATGACATGATTTTTTGTTCAGATACGAATTCACCTGCCTTCTGTTGTTTAGTTTTTTCAAAGCTTTGCAGACACAGTGATTTTAGAACTTCTAACTCGCAGTTGACATTTTCTAATTAAACCTTTCTTGGAATACGCTGTCGTTCAATTTGATACATCAAATACAACTCGAAGTAATCTTAATGTTCATTGTATTCTCACATATGCCTTCAAATAAATTAAAATATATCAGTGTTAAATATTTTATGAAATTGAAATTTATTGAATCTATCAGATTGAACGTTAATTATATCTGTGTTAGAACATAATGATTAGCAATATATCAATCATTATTAATAGATCGCGTCAAGAGGACTCTCTATTTTCCTCTGAATTCTAAACATTCAATAAATGTAAATATATATTTTTTTTTTCTTGAGTATTTACCATTAACGATTAATCCCCTTAACGATTTTTCGAAATATTGATTTTAGTAATAATTTTTTCGTCCTAGGCGGACGTATGGGGGTTTTTACGTGCAGACGACACTCAATTTGTAAATAATACGCGTACGCGCCAGTATCTACTGGGCTGTATAGAACTTTATACAGTCGAGGACAATGTCACGCAAGCGTCACCAATCTCTATACAGCCGAGTAGCTTACGTTTCAACTGTCATTTTAAATTAAAAAGTGCACCTTTGACTAATTTCAAGACTTTCATGTATTTTTATTTAGAGGATTAGAGGGTTATGGCGTCGTACGCTATTTATTTATAAATTGAGTATCCCCTGCACGTAAAAACCCGCATACGTCCGCCATATGACGAAAAATTTTTTAAGCACCATGGGCAAGCCACGCGCAAATACGGTCTCGGCGATAATTATTTGCAGCAGGGATATAAAGCCTCGACCCTATCGGGCCTCGGCTTTATACTATCCCTGCTGAAAATACTTATCACCTCGACCGTATTGGCGCGTGACTCGCCCAAGGTATATAAATAACTATTATTACGTTGAAAATTTAGAATACTGTTAATTACTCTTACTTTAGTTAAAATATGTCTTTCAAATCAATCGTAAATGATAAAGTAATGAAATTTTCAGGGTTTATTGTTAAATATCTATATTATAATAGAATATTAATAATTTAAAATTATTTTTTTATTATCATATTGTTAATTAATTTTTGAGTGAACAAGTGAAAATTTCATTGATTTCTTGGTAAAAAAAAAAAAAACGAATTTTTTTTATCCATTACATGCATTATTTATTTATTTATAGATATTAAACAATAAATCCTAAAAATTTCATTAGTTTATCAATAAAGGTTGATTTAAAATTCATTTTATAATTGAAAGTATTCTAAATTTTCATCGTAACAAAAATTAATTGTTAAAATCAATAATTTGAAAAATTGTTTAGGGGATTAATTTTTCATGGTAATTGACCCAACCTTGCCCTTATATTATTAAAAGCTTTTATTCAACTTCAATTGTATGTAAGTCTTGGAGCCTTACAATTAATATTTCACCTCCTTCACTGAAAATATTGGGCTGAAATTTGATAGACACCTTTGATTCTTATGACAACCATACATTTTGTCGTTAATCAGTCAAGTTTTTTTAATCTTTCTATTTTAACTTTAATATAAACCGAATTGTTGAAAACTGAAATCGTTCTATTTTTTTTAGAACACGACTCATAGCTTCCTTTTTGACTGTCCCAGAAAAAACACAGTATTTTAACGGTGTTTAGCGTTATTCTATGGTTCGATTCAGCCGTTGGTTGTTCGTATAATCGAGGACCTTAAAAAGTTTTCGATAACTATAAATATATTATTAAAAATAAGAAATGATTAAATACTATTATTCTAAATTCTAAGACTGAACATACTGTTTATATGATTGCTGCCGTCATCGAACCGTGATTTAGACATAAGACCAGGAGGGAGAAACCCAAGATCCGACGGTGATAACAAGTGTGCGATGCTTCCCATTCTAAGACTTGGCGCTTTTCTTGACGAGTTGTATCTCAAACTACTGTCTGCATCGGTATCGACATCAATAATTATTACTCTTTACTTATTAATTTATTATTTTCTATTAATAATAGATAAATCAATTCGACAATTTAAGTTAAAAATATCAATTAATAATATTCAACATGAATAAAATAAAAAAATTAGTTCAAAGAAATCAATATTTATAAATGTTACTAAAGTAAAGAATGTTATTAAAGTAAAGTTAAGGAATAAAAGTTATTAAAGTTCAAAAAAGAAATAACATTTTTATCCAAACTGAAATGTATCATTTGTAGTCTCAAAGTAGCAGGAGTTTAAACTTATAATGTAATTACGCAATTAATAATTCAACATAAAAAACAATAATTTTATTAGAAAAGAATGTATCAAAATATACTGTAAACCCGTACTTGAAAAAAAAAATCCGAAATTTCGATGAATTTTTTTATATTTCATCCAAAAATAATATATTTAGCGTTTTATTTTCTTTATCAATGGAAACTTGAAAATGGAGTAAAAATTCTATATCATTGAGAGTCCATCAAGATAAACCTGAAAAAAAAATTAATTCAATGTAATTTTTATAAGGCTAGCTCAATAATAAGAATTAGAAAACATTATACCAAACGTAAAATAAATACCTCGAATTTAGAAGACAAACTAATACTGTAGAGAATTGCATAGTTTTTCCAAAGTCTGAAAGACACGGTAGCTTACAGATTTTAGTCCACTTAAAAAAGAATTCCCGCTCTATAAAATATAATTTTGACTTTTAACGTCTAGTTCTTAATAAATAAAATTATATTTATATAAACATATATAACCACTCCAATATTGGTATAACCACTACTATAAAAATATTTAGCAATACAATATGGAGAAGGTACTTGAAATACCTCTTTATAGATGAAAAAAACCATTCAATTAGATTAGTGATGTAAATAAATATGGCGGTGCCTGCTATGACGTCATGTACGTTTGCGCATGCGCAATAACAATTATGAGTTCAAAATTAATTTTACGAAAAAATAAATTAAAAATAGAAAAACGATCGGAAAAATGGAAATATTGATCGAACAATCAATAAAAAATCATTGCCGATCAAATGAAAAGAAAAAACTAATCGATTTGATGAAGTAAGCGCTATATTACAAGTAATAATTTGTTTAATTTTTTATAAATAAACAATTATCGGACAAATAAATAATTACATCGAACATTGACGAACAAACGACGAACAATCGAATTGTTTAAACAAAAATTGCAAAAAATCATTTTTAGGTGCTAAGTTCAGGGAGGTGTAAACCTACGTTATCGGTGATTTAGGTAATCACTTTCATGGCTATAGATGTCTACCCATTTGTTTCGAAATTATAGAGGGAACAATCTGTAGCTAATACATTATTAGACTGAAAGAAACTAGGTTTTCGGATAAATCGATGCTACCCCCTTTCCGTAGCCTAATATTCTGATTGCTCTCAATACAGCCAACTTTTTTTTAATAAAGTATAAAATTCTTAAAACTAAAAGTGTCCTTGACAAAATCTACAAAAGTTATTAAATTGACGTGACTTAAAATTATTCGGTAGCAATTTTCACCTATCGTTAACTGCTATAATTTAATCCATAGGACATAAAATGTATTTAACTTTAAAATCATCTATCTCAAAGACGGTCAAGCACAATACATGATTGCTCTTATTGCCAGGTAGCTTTTAGTTGTAGTGGAAATATGCAATGGCAATTTTGTCAGACGAGAACAAAGTATATTTTATGTCAATTCTAGAGCTCCCGAATCTAGGTAATCGGAATCTAAGTAACCGGAAATCTGTCTAATTGGTTTCTAGTGTTGTGAATCCGAAAGGATTGATCACAACGCTCTCTGTATATTAATATAGAATCCTAATATAAAATTGAGATGAAATATATGTGGCATCAAACTATTCGTAACGTGATTGGTCGAATATATCATAAGCATGAAAATATATGCAAACTCTGTTGTTGAGAATTGTTGTTGAGAATGAACATAATTATAGTACAAGATACAAAAATAGATTGTTGGTACAAAGAACAAGAACTGTGAGTGCTCAAAAAACAATAAATATGTATGGTTTTTCATTATTTAACAAGTTAAATATAGGCACAAAAAATGCAAGAAATTTAGTAATTTTTAAAAAATTGTTAAGGGAAGAAATAAGAGAAGGAAAAATTTAAAAAAAATGTAGACAGAAATCAAGTGATGATCTGTGATAAAAGATCAAAGATCTTTTATAATTTTTTATATTGTATATATTTTGTAGCTTAAAGCTAAATAAAGAAACTATTATTATTATTATTATTA